TACAATGTAACCCTCGTTAATCACTTGCTGGGAATGTCATACATTTCGTAGTCAGGAAAAAACAATGGAATTGTTGCCCCGCCTTCTCTTGCAACCCCCAATCAACTCCATCTCACTCCTTTCAGTTGAGCAAAAATACTTTCAGACAGACGAAATTGGATCAACGATGGAACAAAATCGACAAAAACCAAAGTCTGGACCATTGAGTTCGATGCCAAATTCGGCTAACACCAACCCCTCATCAGCTGTAATCGTGCCAAAAATTACGAAACTGCGTGAAACTCTTGCGAAATAGCGGTGTCACGTGAAGTGGGCAGCTACGCAGCCAACAATTCGAATAATCGCCTTGGCGCTCAATTCGTTTATTGTCGTTTTCCGTGCGGTGTGGCTCTGCTGGCGCTCCGTTCAGTACTAGCAGGTGTTGTTTATGTTACTCTTCTTTACAGGTTTCATTCCCTTTCACCTTATGACCGTCTGGCACAAAATCGTTAGATCTGGTCGATCATGAGTCATGATTGCTACTGTTCGATAAGGTTCTGGACGCTCATCCTTTTTTTCTTCCTATAAAGTTTTTGTTAATGAGAGGGCTGTTTGTATTGGCTTGTATTTGCGTCATATGTGTGTCTACTTTGACCTTTGCCTCTCGTCACACCTACATCTTTGCGCAGAAATATTCTATGCCATAACTTTGTTCAAAGATTCTTCAAATTACTTGCAGATGGCTAGTGCCGGTGACGGGATTCCAACTTTCAAACTTGTCTTAGTAGGAGATGGTGGAACAGGAAAAACCACATTTGTAAAACGTCATCTAACCGGAGAATTCGAGAAGAAATATGTTGGTGAGTGATATGCTCTTTGTTTATAAAGTAGTGCTGGCTTTTTTGGGGATAATGAATACTTTGGATCAAATGGACAATTTTACAAATCTTTATATGCTTGCCCTCATAGTGGTTGCACCGATATGTTATTGTTCAGTTAAATGTCTGCACATAGTCGTAGGGCATCCCCAAAGTTGCAGCATTTGCCTGCAAGAATGCTGTGGAGTCTGCACCTCCCAATAGAATTGCTGTTTAATTTCAGCTAGCAAAACAGGACACGCGTACCAAATTTTAAAGGCTTTAGAAGAATTAAACCTTCAGATTGGATAATGTGGCTTTCTTTAATGATACTGTGTAAAGAGCTGAGCTTATCAGTAATATTGTGAAAACTTGCTCTGCAAATTTTTTGCAGCTGTGTTTCTGATTGGTGATTGTTGTCAGGTTCATGGCGGATCTCCGATTCCCTTTTTGGTTCTAAACACCATCTTTACTCATAAATCTTAAGGTCGTACTCTATCGAGTGATGGACTTCCATCGTTTCAAATTTGAATCAGTCAGATTTGAAATTACGTAGCAATTACTGAAACATGTATGCGTGCGCAGATGATTTCTGGGGCAGCCTTTGCAGCTTCTTTTCCTGCCGCGTGAACCTAGCTTCTATCTTTTGTCCTTTTTGATTAAGGACGAGGTAGATAACAGATAAAAAAAACTTAAAATGTGAATAGATGTGCGAAAAAGCTGAGCAAAGGGTTTAAAAGTAGATTTGTTTTATCCGGATCATAAGTAGGGCAGTAATTCAACTTTACATAAATGACCACTTTGGAAGTATATTTAGAACGCATCGTCTTGCAGGTTGTTTTAGCGCCGAC